CTCCAGACATGGAACACAGTCCACCACTTATTTTTATAACGTTTGTGACTTCTTATTGTAAGGTCTTACCTAAATAGCTGATTCATGTCCCAGTAAGAAATTGCCTTTTTCTCCCTCTGCCATCATCCAGTCTGATAGATTTGATTTACTTTGGTCTTTCACTTTTCTTCAACTTCGTTAATTTGTGCCACTTATTAAGTACATCTCACTGTTCTCAGTGACAGGGCTGATACAGCAACTGGAGGATCAGAGCGCTTCTGCTCAAGAAACTCACGTCCTAACCTAGCAGCTCTCGCTCTCCTTTGTCGTGACACTTAATGGATGGCATTAATATGTGCAACGTGCTCTCGTGAGCAAACCTGGAGTTATGAGCCTTTTCTGGTGCATTTGCTTTTTTTGCACCATATGCCCTGTGCATAAGAAATTGCCCTTGAATGCTCATGAGTGAAAGCAGCACTAAAGAGTTTGAAACATGTTACAGATGTCACCTGCAATCATTTGTGTGCTGCTATTTTACTTACTACTAGTTGCAAATTGCAACATATTTCTCTGCTGACAGCTATGCATTTAGATGTCCTAAAGAACAAGGGGCCTAGCAAAAGAGAATGCTGGCATCAAGGTATGAACTATAGCTCAAAGCACACTGACAGAATGGTTTAGCAAACCAGCTCTTCAAAAAGAATGTAATCATTAGGAATTGCAAATGTGTATCGGTACAGAATAAAATTAAAAGAAAAGCTTTGCAAGAAACAGGCTGGGAAAGGGCTCTCATGATTAAGACAAACACCTTCTACCAGGGCACGCAGGAGATCTTTCACTAAGAAGTGGTGTCTAACCTAAACCCAGGTTTTGACAAGACATGAGTCAGTTCACTAGAAAGACAGCACGGTTACCCCTCTCCTCCAATCCCAGATGGCCCCTATCCTTTTGACTGAGCTCGGTGGAAGCTGAAACTTCAGAGCAAAGAAGTGAAGTGTAATGGGCACACCTTCCTCAGCCCAGGTTCTCCAGTAGTGATATCCCAGGAGTCAGCCTCCTTCATTGGCTTCTGGACAAAAAAGGAAGTCAGCTGAGGCACCATCTCTCCATCGCCTGGTAAGCAAAATGCATAGGGGTGCCATGGACTTCTTCCTGAGTCAACTTATTTTCACTGTATTGTTAGATGACTCTTGGAAAACTTTCCAATCTTGGTTCTGAGCTGTGTTTTGAGCTTTGTCCACCACTGTAAAGGAAGGATTGATATACACACCCTTCCCACTCTTGCTTCTGAGGACCCATCACAGCAGTCACATCTGCCCTTTGTAGAATGAATCCTTTGGAATGCCAGTGGATACTGTTTATACAACAGCTGTTGCCCTGTCTGCTTCTTGTCTGTCTACCCTAGCAAAGTGAGATCAGTAGGGTTCATGCTACCGCATGAGTTTTCCAAGAGCCTTTTCCATTCTGAGAGCATAGGAAAGAGAACCAGCGCTGTACTGGAAAGAGGCCATGAGAAAAGTAAAGTTCTACAGAACAGAGCTGCATAGAGAAGTTTGCTTGGAAATGTATATTCTGCCTGTAGGTTGAAAAATATAGCTTAATAGACAGATAGGAAAGTTGCATAATGTCTTCTCTCCCCTCTAGAAAAATCCTAGTACAGATGCTTAAGATCCAGGAACAAATGTACGCTCTCCTCTGCGTATTCTTATTATTTGAAGAAATAGCTGCTGGCTTGCTACCAAGCCCTAACACGAATAAATGTATGATTACAGGCTGCAACCTGTACACTTTCAGAAGACCTCATTTCCATGTGGCATTTTATACACCAGACCTCTGGGTAGGGACCTCACGAAGGCTTCTGCTACCAGGCTGGGGAGGCACATTTGATGGGATTAGGCTTTCCTCAAGCACATGAGCATATGACTCTGATTCTCAAGGTTCCTACCCTTGCTACATGCTCGTTTTCCTCTCAACTCACCCATGAGGACTTAATAGGAGTTCCCTATAATTGGCTGATCAAGACGAAAAAGCATCTAGGCTTGGTTTAGTGATGGTTCTGCATGATAAACTTTTAGCATCTAAAAGCAGATGTCTGTCACAGTGCAGCCTCACTCGCGGTGGCCTGAAGGACAGCAGAGAGGAGGTGCTCTGCCGACAGCAGAGCACTCAAGCAGTGTCTCTGTCTATTCAGTTGTGTCTAGAGGCAGAGAGATGAAGATTAGAACTGTATCGACTCAAGGGCAGACTAGTGGTTTGGTTGGATGGTCAGGGGCTTGGAGGAATACTGTTTGAAAACTGGTGACAAGAAGGTTTGGGGACAGATCTGCAGATAAATCTTTCAGCATAGGAAGATATGAACAGATATCTGTGTCTTACCAAAGAGAAATCTCAACAGAAGAGGAACTTGAGAATTAGCTGTGTAAGATGACCCATGCCTGCAGATCTGAATAGCCTGTGTCTTAGAGGAGGTCCATCTGTGTATTTCCTAGCCAGCCTCCTGGTGCCTGGTGGCCTTATCAGCTGAAAAAGATGTTAATCATGGGCACATCACTTTGAACTTCCACTGGCCATGGCTATATCCTCAAAGGGCTGTATTCCTTGCAGGCTGGACACTCAAAGAACAGAAGTGAGGCAGACATCAGGGTTCCCTCAACTTTAGGAAGGGTATTGCCCCATTATAACCGTAGGACGTGCTGGGTTTACCTTGTGTCTATTCTGGCTCTGACTCAGGGGCTTGCCAGTGTGCCTCAGATGTGCTCATAATCCTCTCTCTCTCTCTCTCTGATTTTTCAGCTTCCACTCCAGATCTTCTGTTCCCCAGCAGGGGGTCACATTTGTGCAATACCTAATTCCTGTAATAAATCCTCTCTCCTCTAATACTCACGGAGGTTTTGCTTCTCTCACCAAACCTTGGCCAATAAAAGGGAATTAGAGAACGGGCCTGCATACTATGCATGTTTAATCCATGGAGGTGGGCAAGATGCCTGGCTTTTCAGGATAGAACTTGTGTGCACAATTTGTCCTTGGTCTTGAAAGGGAGGAGTAGTGTGGAATAGGATTTCTATGCATAGGAGTAAAAAGCAAAAGACCAGAAGACAATACACCAAATCTAGACCAGCAGTAAAAGCTTTCTTTTGGTGCTGACACTATGCAAGAGATATGCTTTCCTTTTTTCCCTACTGTTATAATTTCCACGCTTTTATGGTAAATATAACTCATCAGTAGAAAAAGAGAAAAACTTTGTTTTGAAAGAAAAATCAGGGAATTAAAAACTTACAAAATCCTTTGATGACATATGCATATGTTAGGACTTAACAAAAAAATCAATTTCTCTAGTAGAGTTGAATTAATCCATTTATACTCATTTTGTATTAGATTTCCAATTCAGAAAATGCCATAGCTTTTTGTATCACAAATAGTAAATAAGAATAACTGGGAGTACTAGCGAACTCCTTCAGTTACAAAATGAGGCCAGGGCTCAAAGCAAGGTGTAGTTAATTGTAGGACACGCAGAACACTGCAACTGATGGACTCGAGTTGTCCTAGATATATCAGAGCCACAGGCATAGCTAAGAGACTAAGCTTAGATCGAGCCTCTCACTCTGAGGTATCTCTTGGGAATGTCAGTGACAACCATGTGTAGTCAGTACTCAGATACTCTGTAAATAAATGAGTCTGGTGTGTTTCCTCTCCAATATTCTCTCTGTCTCTCTCTGTCTCTCTCTGTCTCTCTCTCTCTCTCTCTCTCTCTCTCTCTCTCTCTCTCTGTCTGTCTCTCATTGCTACTAAGGAGATTAGATAGTTTATAAGAAAAGAATTAAAGCCTGTGGGTTTTGTATGTTACAAGTACTTTTTCTTATAAGCAATAAGAAGCTATGGTGAGGTTTGAAATAGGAAACTTGTCAGAAAGTTATCTCTAAAAAGTAATCTGAGGACAGGATTAATAACAAAACACTCTACTAACTGTGTAAAAAGAGAAAAACTCCAGAGACAGAAAATCCAGCTAGGGAGCTATTGTAACAACCTGGCAAAGACTGGTAATGAAGTGGCTCAAGAATCAAAAGGGCCCAAAATTATGTAGGACAAACCAATAAACATCATATTAGCTTGGTTAGAAACTTATTTGGCTTGAATGAAAGGTCACATTTGTTTTATCAGTGAAGAGCAGAGAAAGGTTTGCTTTTAGGCAAACGTAACAACTTATTTCTGCCTCAGAAGACAATCTGATGATACATGATCTTATGCTTGCCACACCTGGATGGAAGGACAGTATAGACTGGACCGAACATTTGTCGCTGTAGCGGGGGCAGTGCTGCAGTGACAAATAACTCTGTGTCTTGATGGCTTAAAGCTACTCGCATTATGTGTCCAGGATCAGTCTGGAGGTGCAGCCAACCTCCATGCCCACGCGTCTGGTGGAGTAGATGGAGAGACACAGTGGTCAGTAATGTACCAGCAGCAAGCAGCCCTCTAGAGAAGAACACATCACCTCTGCTCAATTCCATGGCTAACTAATCATCACACTGCCGCAAACAATTTCAGGGGAGCAAAAAAGTACAGTCCTACCGTATACTCCAGTGGAACCAGAAACTTTTCAGTGGCTATGGCTTTGGCACTAGCAGTGCTATCTTGGCTGCCTTAAATCTTGTGACCTACTCAGAGATAAAAACACTTTACAGTAAGACCCTCACCCACAGCAGCCAGTGGTGATGCTATTAATTGCCACAAGCTTAGTTAGGAAGCAGCTAGTTTTCCGCTACGCATAGTCCCAGGGAGTTTCCTGACTGTGCATGAGCGGTACACCAATAGCCATTGTAGAACTTCCACTCTGTTTCTGTCCTGTCAGGAATCTTCTCTGCCGTCTATCTCTGGGCTCCCCAGTCATGCCAGCGCCTGTCCTTCACCTCCTGTCCTCAAGCTTGTGGCTGTGAAGCGGCTGTCCTCCCTTGCTGTGGGCAGGTTGCAGCAGCAGAGCAGGGGCGACCCCTGGGAGGCAGGCTAGGTGGGAGAAGAGTACTTACCTGAAGGAGAAGAATGGGCTCCGGATATTTCGGTCTGCAACCTCTGTGCTTGCTCTCTGTCAGCATGCACACGGCTTGCTAGCGTTTGGGCCTCCTGCTCTGTGTAAGCGTGGAAGTGCAGTGGTTTGCTCTAACCCTCTTGCCTTCTCACGCTCTATAAACAAAGGAGGCCTGATCTGTCATAGCGTTTCTGCAGTCCGCACCAGAAACAGAAGCATGATCGAGGGCCCAGCGCATCCCAAGTCCAACACACTTGCCCACACCTTGCTTTGCCCCTGCGTTTCCCCCGGGCAAGTGCAGATAAACAGCCACGTGTAAACGCAGATTATCCAGTCTGTAAGAAAACGATGAACCAAATGTTTCAGTAAGGTCTATACATCTGACTTTAAAAACACCTAAAGAGAATCTTACTGTCAAATAAATTTAAGCAACACTATTAGTATCTGTTTCCATCCTGTAGTATTTGGACATCCTTAAAGCTGGAGGATGACATAATTCGAATTTTCATCCACAACCTTAGCTCCATGTGCTGCCTCCTACTGTAGAGTTCTTCAGTGTGGAAGAACACCCCATCAGCGTCTTTTCACCTATTTCTGTGTAACATGGGGCTGTTGTCTCAAGACATTCCACTATTTATGACTAGTTTTTAATCTTAAAATGATGTTAAGGCCAGGATTAGTGCCTCTATTTTGTGTTTGTCCCTTCCCCCTCCCTCCTTCCTCCCTACTGTCATATATATTTATCTCTAGCTTTATGTGTCACTGTTTCAACATCTGTATCTACCTCTGCCTTCTACTGGGGTGTAAACTCTAGTGGAGTGTGCCTTCTCCGGAGCATCCAGGACCTCCCCTCATCTATTAGATGCTCCCAGCAAATGAGTTTTGTGCATGCGTTTAACTAAAAAGAAGATTTTGAACAAATCTGAGACATCTCGAGTGTCTCCAGTATCTGAAGGGTTAAACAAGTACCTGCCGAATTACCTTGGCTTTGTCAACATGATCAGTCCCTTCTTCCATCCTCTTCCCAGTCTCTGCTGTCTTCCCTGTGTAGGTTTCCCTGGAGAATGTTAATATAAAAGACAATGAAATAGAAGACCAGAGCAGAAAACAAATATGTATGGGGCAAAAGCCCCACCCCTGATTTAGCCCTCAAAAATTTGTTAGTAGTGGGAGGGAAAAATCTCTGTGTTTGTTTTGATGTGTAAGTGATCCATACCCAATCAATGAGCATTTTCTCTTCAGCTTTTTTAGGAAGGAGGAATGACAGACCCCATGTCCACATCTGAGGTTTTTGCTGGGCCTTTGGGAAACCCTGGCTGTCTTGATGCTGAGGTTGCTGGCTAGAGAACAGTGGAGCAGGTAGGCTTTTCCAGGCTCTCTTACCTGGAGATGGTCTGCCTGACAGCGACAGAAACATGGAGAGAAACAGAGCCAAGTGCTTGCCAGGAAAGGAAACAGGGATGCTGCTGGAACAACCAGGAACACTGGAAGCAGAAGGCCCTGTCCCAGGATGCCTACCATGAGGGCAGGCTGGTTGGGAAGGAGCAAGCTGTCTTTTCAGGGAGTGTGCTGCCAGGTTAGACCATTGCCATCCTTTACTGGCTTGATTCTCAGACTTTCCTGCCCCCCCACCAGTTTGTGTTACCTGACTTCTGCAGCAGATTTTTCTATTCTGAGTTCTTTGAGGGCAAGACACGGTTCCCAGACTGCCTGGTGGCGCTCAGAGTTGAGTGCACAGGAACTGCACAATCAAGGGAATGCATGTAGTTGATCAGAGAGTGCAGGTCTCTTGACCTACAATTCCAAGGTAATGGTGCTTCTAAATTTCAGGGTCACTAAGGGAAAAACAAATCTGTCTTTCTCCACCTAGCTGGGGCAAGGAGTCAAATGCGAACCTGCGTTGTTGACTCTACTCTCTTCCTGTGCCAAAGGCAGCCTCTGGCCAATCTGTCAGAAGACTCAGCTGAGAGGCAGGCAGAGCTCCTGTGCTCCTGCCAGCAGGGGCACTTCTCTGCAGGCCCCTTCTGAGAGCTGGGGCACAGCAGGCCAGCTGGCCGCCTGCTCTCAGAGGATACCAGAGAGAGCCTGGCACCCCCAGTGCATACTAGGGGAACCGAAGCAGCACCCAGTGGGAGAGGACAGGAGACAGGGAGAGACAGCAAGCAGAGAAGGTTGTTTTGTTCTGTTTTAAATATTTACCCCAAAGGAAACTGAAACAGCCACCCCTCTGTAAGTATGTGGAACCCACTGAATGGAGATGCAGGCTGCATAAAACATACCTGTCTCATTTCCATGTGTAGGAACCTTGCATCCTAAACCTTGGAAAAAGGTGGTGGAGTAACTGTTTCTGCTTGGGTACTGTTTTGAAGAGATCATTTTTCCTAATGACTAATGTTATCACCATGCAGGATTTCACTAGTTTTTTTTTTTTCCTGTAGGAAGAGGCCGCCCTGATGTTGGTTCACACAGCCTTGTTGCCATCTGTCGAATCACGGCATTACTTCACATTTTTCACTTGAGCTACCTTCTTCTTTCAGCTCATGCTGAAATGATAGCTCTGTACGGAAAGCACGTTTCAAGCAGAAAAACTAATCTTTCAACTAAAAGTAAATGCTGGTGAGCACAACCCAGTAATTCAGCATAAATTTGTTTCCTTCCAGCAAGTGTTTTGGTCAATAATACCTCTTCACGGGCAGAACTTACTTCCAGATGCTTTCTGTCGTTTTCAACTGTGCCAGGCTCCTTCCCTCTTACTGTGTGCCTTGCAGGTAAAGTTTAACCAAAATTTAAATGCAGCAAAGGAAAATGACCAAAGATTCCTAGAATATGGATAAAGTCAGATTCCACAATGCTAAAGAGATAACACCAGTAGTGATTAGCAACTCTTCTCCAGAGAAGATGAACAGTTTTGCTCCCTGGATATGCCCAACTTCTAAAGGCCTGTTTTTTTCCACTCCATGAAGAAGATACCTAGAGAATACAACAGTCCTCTCAGGACACCCACATGATTTTTAGGAATGCTAACATCTCTTTATAATCCTGCATTATTTCCTTGTGCTATGGAACTCGAGGTCTTTCCCTTTCTGTAAAATGTCTACTTAGAGTATAGAAATTATTACCGCATTGTATTCACTGGTAAACAGTGGTGCCAAGTAACTAACAAATCTGTTACAGTAAATATACTACCTTTTGTTTTAAAATAATATCTTATTGTGTGAAAATGTGAGTTGTAGGAAAAATTTTGTATTATGTTCAGTAGGTCACACCATACATTCTGCTTCGCTGGCTTTTGCTTAATTTTTAAATAACGTATAAGCCCAAATCATTTTTCTATTTGCTGCTTTTATTTTAAAATGCACTCTTAGTTTTCTAACAGAACACAAAACCTTAGTGTGGAATATATAATAACAATTTTTAATAAAACTTTTAACAAAATCCCAAATGGTTCCAGTGGGCATCTTGTCTTTAAGAGTATTTACCAGGTAAGTCATTTTGCTTAATTAGGTGTCTAACTGGTAGGACCTTTCTTACCAAAAACACAAACCAAACTAAAACAAAACAAAACAAACAACACATTTGTACAATCTTCAAGAAGTCTTTCATTGGACCATTTTGTCACTGTGTAAGTGAATATGAGTAAACATTAAATTCTTGCTTGTAACCTCTAGGAGTTCATTAAGTTCCAGGGTACATTGTAAAGCTCACATAGCCAGCTTAAAGGAACAACAACTTAACTAACAGTAACAGTAACAGAGTAGAAAGTAGTAAACATTCCAGGTGCTTCTTTAGAAACGGTTTCATGCTTTGATATAATGCTTTAAATATGGGAAATTCCTCATATTTTAAAGTCTGTTTTAGAAAAAGCACAACCTAAGTTAGAACTCTTAAACAGTAAGATCCAAGTCATTTTTAAATAAAGGAAGGAACCTCAGTGATTATAGTGTACATTGAAATGGTATTTAAATAGACTGTTCTTTCACTGAAAATCATTAAATGATATGTCAATTTTAAAGTATAATATAGAAAGAAAAAGATAGAGTGTAACACTCTAGTATCAACCTTTAAAAAGATCAAACTATTTAAGATACTAACCCTAGAGTAAATGAGCAAAGTCGGTGAATGGTTTAGGTGGAAATTGCTGGAGCAAAAACCCAGAACATCATCTCTTTCTACCAATATGACAATTTAATAGGCAATCCAAGCCATTTTCCTTTTTCCTTCTTGGGTAATATCCTTTTACATTACCTTGGATAGGATGCTGCGTTCTAGTCTTTGAATTTGAACGTTCCCCAAGAATCCCATGGTGACTGCTCACAGCTCACAGTTCTAACAACTCTATCAGGAAGGGGAAACAGCACTAATTGGCTCCCAAGAGCTTTTCCTTGCAATAGTCAAGGAGTGGAAGATAACATGATTGAGCTACGTAGCCAGGCAACCAAGCTTTGGAACACCATTTGGCAGAAAACGGCCAGAAAAACAAGGACCGTTGGCCCCTGGGACTCCACCCAAGCAGAAGTGGCTTTGAGAAAGTTTTCACACAAGCTGTTCAGGATGAGAAGTCCCCCAACAGTCTATCACTTGCTTATAATGAAAAGATGCTACAATCTGTGCCTCTGAGAGATGCCTCCTTCAGTCTGTGACCTGCTGAACCCCAAGCCTGCTGGTGGCCCCTCATTAAACTGCCTTATATGAGCCGCCTTTCATCTCCCTAAATTCTACTTTTAATGTTGCTCTTTTCCTCATCGATTTTTCCTTCCCAAAAAATTGACTAGAATTTTGCATATATTAATTACCAAAAACTTTAAATGATTCATTTATATGTAAAAATATCATAACTAACAAAATGGAAGATTTTTGTAGATTTTACCAAATCTTAATAACTTGCTTTACTCTCATTGCTGGAACAGAATACCCAATGCCCAAAGTTAAAGGAGTAAAGGTTTGTTCAGCTCACGGTTTTTGGAGATGTCTGTCCCAATCAGCTGGCCCCAAGGCAGAGTGGCATGGTGAGGGGCCACAGTTCATAGCTGCAGAAGGCAGCAAAAGCAACACAAGTGAAAGAGGGGGAGCAAGCCCCTTCTCCTCCCTTACAGTATAGCTGTGTGCCCCAGGTGGGTGGAGCACTCCCACCATCTCCGTGCCCTCCTGTTGCACAGGCTCAGGATGTTTACAAGTCAAGAACCCTGATCCCTGTCCAATCACTTTGTTAAACTTCTAAGCTCCTTGAGCTGACAGGGTGAACAGGAAGGGTGGGTCCTCTGCAACCTAGGATGTAGAAATGCTCAGTGACTTACTTCAGCTTCTAGACTTTTCGAGTTGACATGAAGTATCAACCATTACAATTTTTAAAGTGGCAGATGCATTAGACAACAGGATCATTTTGTATTCACGCATGATTGCAGTATGCAATGATTACACTCAACATGGGGAGTTGGTACAAGGATGCAACACCCCTGAATTCTTCTATACACCTTCTCCTTCCTGTGCTCTCCCTTCCTCCTCTCCAGCCCCTTGGTATTTGCAAATGATCTGTCTTGGTGTTCCTGTTACAGAAGCACATACGAGCAGATCCAAAGAGGGTGGGCTAGGAGCACTCATCTCTCATCAAACTGCCACCAACTTCTTGTATGTTCAGGGACTAAAAATTTTCTGGTTTTCAGGTATTCTAGTGTCTAAAATATGGCAATTGGAATCTAAAGAAAGCACATTATTTTTGCTGCAACATCTACTTTTTATTGACCCTTCCTGTAAAATAACAAGAAAATGCCCTGTAGCAAGAGATGATTTTTCTTAAGTAAAAATTTGAAAAGACAAACTTATTAGCAATGATTCATACCAGCTGCAAAAGGTAGTTATGGAGTGTGACAGAGAAATAACCATCATAAGCATAATTTACTGACCACTTCCCACAGGCCAAAGTCCACCATGGGCTTTATTAATGCGATGGGCCAACAAACTATTATTTAAAGCCTGTGTTGACTTTTACCACTTTTGCCTTCTCAGATGCTTACCACAAGTCCATGAAAGGTCAATCTGTCTCCTGTCGCTTTTTTCTTTCAGGATCTGGTAACAAAAATGGAAGATTTTGATTTTGAAGTCCCTTGCGGGGCTGGCTGTGTGATACTGAGATGGATGGGTCATGTCTCTTGCCCTGATGTGGCAGTGCATGCTTGTGGTATCAGCTCTCTGGAGACAGAGGCAGGAAGACCGCAAAAGTGAGCCCAGCTGGGCAACTCAGTGAAACCCTGTCTCAAACTGAAAAAAAAAAAAAAAAAGGCTGAGAATGCAGCCAAGTGTGAATAGACACCACCATTAAATTTAAAAGAAAAAGTATAAAGAATCTTTAAGTAAGTTTTTGATAGGCCTTCAGGCCAGTGGAAGGAATGATAGCAAGCCATTTCTTAGAGACTGCACAATTGAGGAGCCCTCTTGGGTACTTTATTCTTGTTATTGGAAGAAAATACCCAGCACCCACAGTTAAAAGAGGAGAAGTTTATCTAGCTCACAGTCTGTGGAAGTTTCAGTCTGTAATCAGCTGGCTCCAAGGCAGGGTGGCATGGTGAGGGGCAACAGCTCAAGATGGCAGAGCACAGCAAGAGTGACTGAAGGCAAAGGGGAGAGTGAACCCCTTTTCCTCCCTTACACTGTAAGCAAGCTACTCCGGAACAGCTGCAGCACTCACACCATCTGGTGCCTTCCTCTTACACAAGTTGAGGATATTTACCCTGTCATCCTGCTGAGTCACACGGTTAAACTTCTAAACTTCTCAGGTTGACACAGTAACCATGACAGTAACTGAAGTGATGATACACACTGGTGAGTTTACCACACCACATAGTTTTGTGAAGCCCCCTATCTTCCACCCCCATAATGAAGTTTGACTCATATAAATGCCTCGTGTGTACAGAAGGGCTCACATTGTACAAGTCAGAATGAAGTCATCATGGAAAAGAAAACACTGTTCACAACTTTCCTATGTATTTCACAATATGCACCAAAAAGCCGCAAGCTCAGGTGAACGTCATCTGGGATTATTATTTGTGAGACAAGTGCCATAACAGTGGTACCCACCATTGATCAAACTGAGCACACTAATAGAAGCAGGTGTTGAAGCCAGGATGGGATGTCGTCACATCGATTAGCTCTGGGATCCTCCCAGGGAACTGGAGGAGCATATTTGGGATGGAGGAGTTGGTGCATATAACACATCTCAGCTCCTCTTTTCATCCCCTTTCCTCCTCTTCTACGCCTCTTACTTCATCTATTGATCTTCTTCACACTCAAGAAAGATCTATCTCCTTCTTTTGTTATCATTTTTTATTCTTTATTACAATTTGAATTCATTATATAAGATAAACTATGCAATATTTAAACTTGTGTGTCTGATTTACTTCACTTAAAATTATGGTCTCAAGGTGCATCCATTTTCCTACAAATTACTAGACTGCCTTTATTTTTGGCAGAATAGTGCTCAACTGTGTGAAAACACCACATTTTTTAAATCCATTCATCTGTTGATAGACATATGGGCCACTTTCAAGACTTAGCTCTTCCCAATTGTGCCACTATAAAAATATGTATTCATATATCACTGTAATATAATGTCTCTAACTCTTCTGGGAGAACACCTAGAGGTGAGTAGCTGAGTCAAATGGAATTTTTAGTTTTAGATTTTTGAGGACTCTCTGCACTGATTTCTACAGCGATTAAACTAATTCACATTCTTACCAACAGTGTAGAGTTCCTTTAGCCAGCAACCTCACCAGCATGTGTAATTATCTGAGGTCCTGATGACAGCCATTCTTCCTGGGGTGAGATGAAATCTCAGCATTGCTTTAATTTATATTTCTGTAATGGCCAGCAATATTGAGCTTGTATCTACTGTGCCTTCTCCCTGAGACCAACTCACTGTGTGAGATGAGCAGTTCACAGCTGGAGACAAACAGTGACTGCCAGTAACCCCAGAGACCTCAAAGAAGAGGTGCAGGGGTGGCGAAGAGCAGTGGATGTGAAGGCTGCACTGGGTGGTGGTGAGTGCCAAGGCCACAGCTGTGCATGTGAGAAAGCCATTGGCCAGGACCTGTCTTGGAGAGTGGCCAGCTGAGCTCAGAGTTCAGAGCTGCTGCCCTCTCCACCTAATGGCTCCCATCTGGGCTCAGGCCCACAGAACAGAACGTGCATGCACAACAGCAGGCCAAATGAGTCTGGTTTCAGCCAAAAGGTGAAGGCTCATTGAGATTATCACCACCCCATCAAAACCTGCTGCTGGCTTGCTGGGAAAAATCAGCTCAGATCGGGACTCTGACTCCACCTGTCATCTACCAGTGACAACAGAGAGAAACCTGGAAACTGAATCATTTCTTTCTCTCTCTCTCTCTCTCTCTCTCTCTTTCTCTCTCTCTCTCTCTCATTTGTTTTTCATTGCTGTAATTGTAGTTTTGTTTTTGTTTTTCTCTTCTTCATTGTTAATCTTGTTTCTTTATGAGTATGAATGTGGTTTCTAGCCTCTTTGTGGTTGAGGCTCTGCTCTGTTCTTTTATCTTTTCCTTTTCTCTTTCCCTCCTGTCTTCTGCACCAGTTTCCCAAAGTTAGTGTGAGCCCCTTTGTTCTCCAGCCTTGCTTCTAATCTCTTCCTCTTTTTCCACCTCTCTATTTTCTCTCTAACCCCTTTTAAATTTTAATCCTGAGGGCAAAATTGACATATTAAAGACTCATATACTGCATATAATTTTCTGATTTGTTTTAGATTGTGTTATATAAACCACAAATCTATTTCATATGGCCAAAGATGTCAAATTACTTGTTAGCTTAGTTTGCCATTTTCTAAGCTGTGTTTGATGCTATTATAATTATTGCTTATGGAACCACTACAACCAAAAGTGACATAATTGCTCTAAATAGTTCTTCTTCCTGGTATTCCAAGACTGAGATTAAGTAAGGATTACAGAAAATAATGTGGCACAGTGCCAAAGACCCAGGGGCTGTGTCAAAAATAGACAGCAACTCCTCATCCCTAACAAATTGAAGAGGCAGGATCTTGCAACAGGCTGAAAACCCCAAAACCAGCACCACATGGAAGATACCTCAGAGAAGTGGTCATTTCCTAAGTTCCAAAGGCTAGCAATAAAGCAACCCACTATAGGCAGTTTATATGAATCATCCCAAGAACTAAACTGAAAAAAGAAAAGAAAATGAGAAGACACCTAAACAAGACGCAACCCCAGACGTTCAGTGCATCACAGCCAAAACTACAAGGTGATAAAGTGGAACAATCCAAAAGCCAACTATTGGCCTCTCTGAAGGGATAACAACAAAGTGATTGAATTAGGCTCTAGAAAAAATCAAATCAAACTGATA